AATTAAAATCAAACTTCACCTCCCCCGCGGTTTGGGACATTGGGGTAAATTTTTAACCCCACAAAACCCCAAAAAAAAAAAAAAAAAAAAAAAAAAAAAAAAAAAAAAACATAAACGACGACGGCGAAAAGGTTGACTGTCAAAGGAACCACACCCAGCGCCTAGAATAAAAGACTTTTACCAATGCCAACCAGGAGACAACTCGATATAGCCCAGTCCAAGTGGAAGGTAAGGGAAATAGCGCATACTAGGGAAACCGGAGAAGAGAGAAGAAAAAAATCCGAATGTCATACCGCATTCACTAAACACCAGGAAGGTGACTGCCTAAGAACAAACTTTTCGAACCGAGGGATATCAGGATCAGAGATGGGGAGATGTAGGGGTAGAAAGGGTAAAAGATGGGAACAAATAATGATAAGAGAAATGAAAAGTCGTCAAAAACGTGCGTCCAAGATTTCCGAGAAGACAAAGAGTGAACACATCAATTAAGACTTGTTCTCCTCAACAGGGGCCTCCTTGGCGGCTTCCTGGGGCTTGGGTTCGGTGGTCTCGCCATCACCCTTGTTCTTCATGTACTCATCATAGACGTTAAGGGCCTCATCGACCTTGCCGCGGAGAGCCTCCTCATCATCGAGCCTGGAAGAATGTTAGTAAATCTTGTCACACATAACTCAAAAAAATGGGCAGTGTAACTTACAGGCCAAGCAACTCAGCGTTATCCATCTCAAGAAGCATACCAGTGATCTTGCCAGCAAGCTCGGGCTGCTGAGCCTGGATCTTGGGGTAAAGAGCCTCGCCGAGCATCTGCTTCTGCTGAGCGGGGGGAGCGGTGAGAAGAGCCTGGTTGGCAGAGGCGGGCTCGCCACCAGCGGGCTGACCACCAGGGGCGGGCTGGCCGCGACCACCACCACGACCCATCTGAGGACCACCACGGCCGAAACCGGGGCCACCACGCATGTTCATGGGCATACCGGGAACACCACGGCCACCGCCGCCACGTCCGAAAGCCTGGGGCATAGGGTAGCCCATGCCGTTAGGAATGCCACCAGGGGCCTGCATGCCCATAGGCATACCCTGGAAGTTGGGAGGAAGCTGTTGGTTGGGGGGCATACCACGACCACCTTGGGGGAAGGGACCGGGGTACTGGGGACGTCCAGCGGGCATGTTAGGCATGGGCATACCGCCCTGGGGGGCGAATGGCATACCACCACGCTGTCCAGGGGGCATGAAGCCCTGCTGGCCAGCACCGTAGAAGACGGCGGGCTGCATGAACTAGTCAAGTTAGTAATTGAGCGGGCTGAACAGGAAAGTTGCAACTTACAGGCTGGGGCATACCGGCAGCGGCTGCGGCCTGCTGCTGGCGGATAGTGTTGCGAGCCTGGATGCTAGCCTCGAGCTGGCTGCGGCGGACATCCTTGCGCTGAGCGAGAGCAACGTAGAGGGGCTTGGCGTTGACCATACGCTGGTTCATCTCGGTGACAGCCTTGGAAGCCTCATCGGGGCTGCTGAAGCAGACGAAACCGAAGCCCTTGCTCTTACCGAAGGCCTTCTTCTCTGTCTTCTTCTCCTCGGTGTCCTCGCCCTCCTCCTCGGTCTTCTTCTCCTCGGTAGGCTCCTCAGTCTTCGCCTCGGTGCTCTCCTCGGTCTTCACCTCCTTCTCCTCGGAGTCCTTGGTCTCCTTGTCGGCCTCCTTCTCCTCGGCCTCGGGGGAGGGAGAACGTTCGGCGGCATCACGCATAACCTTGGCGGAAGTGATAGTACCGTAAGGAGTGAAGAGGTCACGGAGCTTCTCATCATCAATGTCGTCGGTCAAGTTCTTAACGTAGAGGTTGACACCCTGGTACTTGGAGGCCTTCTCCATGCGGGCAGCCTCGTACTGCTTGCGCAGCTCCTCCTCACGCTCGTGCTTCTTCTGGGCACGGCCAACGTAAAGCTTCTGAGTCTTGACGTCCTTCTCGTTCATCTCAGCCACAGCGGCCTCGGCGCTCTCGTGGTTGGCGTAGTTAACAAAGCCGAAACCGCGGCTCTTGCCATCCTGGTCGTGGCTGAGGGTGGCGGAGGTGATCTCACCAAAGGCCTCGAACATGACGCGGAACTCGTCGTCGGTAATCTCGAGATCGATGTTCTTGATGTAGATGTTGGTGAAGTTGGCCTTCATCTCCTCGAACTTGCTTTGGCGGTCCTTCTTGGAGATGTGGTGTCCGACGAAGACCTTCTTGTCATTCAGCAGCATACCGTTAACGTGCTTGATGGCGTTGTTGGCGGCTTCGGCGGTCTCGTAGTGGACGAAACCGTAGCCCTTGGAGTTGGCGAACTCATCCTGGGCGACCTTGCAGCTGAGAATGTTGCCGAAGGCAGCGAAGGTGTCGTGGAGAGCCTTGTTGTCAATGGCGTTGTCAAGGTTCTTGATGAACACGTTGCCCTGGCCAGTCTTGCGCAGAGCGGGGTCACGCTGGGACCACATGATGCGGCAAGGCTTTCCCTTGATGAGAGTGTAGTTCAGATCCTCAAGAGCACGCTCGCCGTCAGCGGTGTTGTTGTAGTTGACGTAGGCGTAGCCCAAGGACCGGCGGGTGACGGCATCACGGCAGACACGGATAGAGGCGACCTGGCCGATGGAAGAGAATAGCTCGTAGAGCATAGCCTCAGTCACGGAGGGGTCAAGCTCGCCGACGTAGAGGGAAGCCGAGTGGGGCTGGTTGTTGGCAGCATCACCGGCGGCCTCGGAAGTGGCCTCGACGGGGGCGCCATTGGCCTCAGGGGTAGCGGCGACAACGTTGTCAGTGACAGGAGCGGTGGCGGGGGCTTCAGCAGACATGATGGCGGCTGTTTTCACTAAGAAAAGGAAAAAGTTTTAGCATGTGCATGCCGAGCCTATCGCAGAGAGGGGGAGGGGGAATCAAGGAGGCATATGAGATAAGGTTACACGGCAGTTGATGCAGTCTATTTAGCAAGCAACCAAGGGGCAATGAGAAAAAAACGAGGGGGTGAATCAATGAAAAGGGAGGGGCGCCATACAGCGAAGTATCCACGAAACAAAGAGTTCAGAGAAATTTCACTTGAGCAGAGAGCACTAGTAGCGGATTAGCGGGGGAGGAGATTCGAAGTGTATTGCATGCGCGATCGAAAGAGAAGAAGCAGAGATGACACGGTTTTCAACCGAGTAAAAGAGTGGACAAGAACCAAAGTGACTAACCAGGTGAAAATGAAGACGATGGAGGCGTTGAAAGAAAATCTTCCACACAACACACCGCACAATCAGGAATGAGATAAGATAACTGGAAAAAGTCTTTTTCTGGGTTTTTCGTGTTTTTTTGAGATTTTGTATCTTTCGATTTAAGGATTCGAAAAGAAAAGGAAGACTTTTCCCTAAAGAAAGAGAGAGCAACAGAGATGGAGGGGGAGGTTGTAAGAAGGAAAGAAAAAAAGTTGAGCCGTTCAAAAGCAATTGGTTCTGGAAAACTCAGAGGCTGCACGAGATGGGGACACTAGTCCTGTTTGGGAAAAGGTTGCCGCTTTAAGGGCTTATTAAGTATAACCTCGGATGGATATTGCAAGATAAAAGAAAGAATATGGCCATGCTATGCATGCAAAAATTAATCATAGACACGCGGTCTACCCAGGAAATGTACAGGAAATAATGACTGAACACCCCCCTTCAACTCAGATCAAACCCAGCTCCCGAATTCACAGCATATAAAAGCTTGCTCTTCAATGTCTCTGCATCAGAGTACCGTGGCAGTTTGAGAAGATTCACACACGTACTGGTACTCGGCAATCTTTCCTGGTCCTCACTGGAGTCTCTAATGCTAAAGTTGGGACGAAGGTGGCTGAATCCCAACAACGGAGCTCGAGGGGTAGACGTCACGAACCGGATGACCCTTTGTCGCTCCTCGTTGGTCAACTCATGCATAACCTGCCAGAACAGTGCAATGGTCGGGTGTTCTAGATGGTCATCACCAATCACATACACACCTCCGTAGAGGGTATTCCGTCGCAAGTCCTCCACATCAATATCAGCTTTGTCTCCGCTCACTAAAGTTTGCAACTCGGATTGATTGAACATGGATAGCCAGGCGGGTTGAATGATCTGGCCCAGACCTTGCAAAAAGGCGTTTGTCTGTAGAGCAGGTTGCAACTGTAGACGATAACGAGCCACGTAGGAAATGTAGACCAATCTATTTTTGTTCGTCACAGCGGTCTGTGAGCCATTTGGTTTCAGTTCTGCGGTGACAGTGCGGTTGCCTCCACTGGGCATCCGAATTATACTGTTAATGGTGAAGTCGAGACCGAAGTCTTCCACGTTTCCGGGATAATTCTTCAGTTGTAACTGGTGAAACAGATTGGTCAGCTGCAGGTTCAAAAAACACAATCCCGACCTTGCCAGACGATACCACTTACCAAGCCTTGGTATAACCCCTCATCAAGGTCCTTCAGATCGTTCAAGTTGGCACGATAGGAAGATTCCTTCACTGCAGACCTAGAGCCTCCTGTCAAGGCCCACTTCAAGAGAAAGAATGGGGCAAAATTGACATCGACCAAGATCCCCTCGTAAAGACACTTTCCAATAATCCGGCCGAGGAATTCATATCGTCGAAGAAGACCGCGCACGTCATCCTGCCATTCTGGGCTTGAACTTGTGAGCCCAGCCTCGCCGAGAACTGTTTTGAGTTGGGCAACCGCTGTCGGGCTGGGATACAGCAGATGGTGATCATTTTCCGCAAACATGCTTTCGTGGTCATCAGTTTTGAAAGCTTGGGTAGTGATACTGGTTAGGAACTCCTTCGTCACACCGCCACCATCGATGCCGGCTTCCATTGCTCCAAACTGGTCGATAAAACTGATCTGGATTGGCTCTTTGAGACCGTCACCCAAGCCATAGTATTGAGAGAATGCATCTTCAAATACACTCTCACGCCGGATGTCAGCATGGTGTCGAGCCAAGATATCCGCCGCACCCTCAGGAGGTCCATTTATCATAGCGTTTTGGGCCACAGACAAACGCCAGGACTCAGCATCCACGAAGCCTTTCCGGCGACGCTGTTGATCCCTAAATATGAATTGACGGAAGATCTGCACTCTCGTGGCAAATGGTATGAAGAAAGGCATATTTCGAAGTATTTCTAGCCGTGGCGCAATGGCGGCTAGAGCATTATTATGAGCTTGTCTTCTTTGGCTATTTCGCATGGCTTGGAGATGAATTAGTCGTCGCGCATGGCTATTGCCGACAAGGTGAGGAGACTCTGGGTATTCCTCATCAAGAAGATCAGGCTCAGAATCTTCATCTTCGTCCTGGAATTCATGGCGTTTCTCCTCTTCTGCCACAACAGCTGGAATAAAGCCTTCCATGTCGAATCGATCTGTCATCAACCAATGATTTTGTGGAAGGAATTTGCGTCGAGAACTAGAAGCGTGTCAGCTAGTGTGACTAAATCATAGCAAATGGAACGTTTCAACTCACTCTCGCTCATGTAGCATTCTGAGCAAACCTGTAACCAAGCCTTTGAAGTAGTCAAGTGGGATACCTGTCACACCAGGAAGATCATTGATTTCCTTCTTGGCCTCCACCTCAGAACGCTCTATCGTCCCAGAAACCTGAGCCGTGTTGTTGAAATAACTTCTAAGATCCACAGCGGATGATGGAACGGGCCCTTTCTTGGTCAAGTCGGCAACATTCCAGTAGAGGGTGAAGGCGAGGTTTTTGAGAAAGACGGTCATATCCTTAATGTCTTTAAGTGGCAGTGCGCTCTCTTTCGTCCACGAAGACAAGACATTTGGTGAAGCTGTAAACGGTGACGCGCTTGAGAAGAACTCTTCGTCATCCATGACTTTCAAGAGGAACGTGTAAAGCTCAAAAAAGAGCAGAATAATCGTCCACTCCTGTTCTTGATCCTCTCTATCCCCATCTTGAGGCAGTTGCAGTAATGGAAGAACTTGGGTCGAGTCCTTGCTGATTATGTCAAAGATCCGGCTGGATTTTGATGCCTGCCAGAAATATTTGATCGCCGGTATTTTCACACCTGGCTGGCCAGAAGTGGGACCTGCCGAAGGCGCCGAGCCCAGGTACAACCACATTCGAATGTCGTCTCCACGGCGAGGGAACACCCTCAGCAAATTCAGGGCATAGGTAGCAAGAATCTTGGCTTCTCTCGAAGCGTTGGGTTCGTTGTTTGGTAAGTCTGTGTAAGAAAGTTGGGACTTTTCGATGCGAGAAAGTAGCCCCGTAATGCTACTTTGGTTGACCAAGCTACTGACTTGATCTCCGATGAACTGATCCAAATAAGGACCCCTGATTGGATCCGAGCCGTTCTCGTCCGCCTCCAAGCACCGTGTCAGATAGATAGATGTTGAGTTGAGCAACCCAGAGACCACATTCAGGAATTCGAGATCAGGTGTTTGCAAGTTGGCCTGCCCTGGAAGAGCATATCGGTGAAAGAAAATCAAGTACGCAAGCAGCCAAAGGCGACTCTCGATACCCTCGACATCGTCGGCAGAAAGGCGTTCTTTGGTCAAAGAAATACATGATTCGATTGCAGGTGCCAGTAATTTGTAGTTGATTTGATGCGCCAGTCCATTAAGCTCACCGAGATAAGTGGGCAGGTTCGGAATAGTGAGATACGACATAGCAAGAGCTTCATATGCTGTCATCGTTTCTGGGGTTATTGGTCTCAGAAGAGCCAGGACAGCATTCGTGACATGCTCGGGTGACAGGGTACCTTCCAAGATCTTAATGTTCTTTGTCAAGAAGGCCATCGTTTGATAGTATTGTTTGGCAATTGTTGCCATCCTCCTTGGTATCAAGTCAATGAGGAAGACTATCGTCCGAAGGAGGGGCAGGACTGCTGCTTCATGAGTCGGGCTGTCTTTTGCTGAGCCGAGGGCATAGAGAATAGCGACTGCCAGCCGTTTCAACAGCTCGGTCCAGTCATTTTCCGTAGCGATCGTGGGGAGAGCATGGAAGGTCTGCTCAAAGACATTGCAGAAGTATACTAGACGTAGAACATCTTCCTTCTTCCTTACCAATCCCACAAACTGAACCAGAAGCCTGAGCTGGTCTAAGCATTGCTTCGCTGTGGGATATGGCGGTGCGGAAAGACGTTCTAGACACTCCAGACGCTCAAGCTCCGTCGTTGGGCCCCGGTCATCGTCGAATCCCAGGGCACTAATAACCCTTTCCCACTCAAAATTATCCCATTCGGACTTCCAGCCCTTATATGTTGCTTTCCTGCTCTGATGACCCCGCCAAACTCGCTGAACGGTGCGAGATGCGGTCTGTCGATCTCTCTCATGTTGTCTCAGGGCTCGCTCTCGCTGGGCAATGGCGACTGCGCTCTCGGGGTTCACAGCATGAGGGGTATGTCTAGTCGGCGAGTTTCCGGGGAATGCGGCGAAGGGATTAGTGGCTCGGCCACTGAGGTTCACTTGCCGTGGGCGACGAGAGTTGCCCGTGAAGGATTGAAACATGGTTGCAGCAGGAGCTGCCTGATGGGAGGATGGCCAGCAGGCTAGATAAAACGAACCCTCTAAACGCAGAGAAGCAAATCAACTCAAGCCCGCATCACCGTGAGGGAAAGACGAAAGGTGAAGAACTATGACATCGCCGTCGCCGGGTGCCGATACGGGAGAGCATGGCGGGCTTATCGGACTTGTCGAGCACAGACCACATCTCCATGAGACCTGAGCACTATGTACATATTGCCACTGGAACATTCTGGTTTTAAGCTGACATAGGTCAGAGTGAACCATATAAGACATACGAAAAATCCTTTGTAGAGAAAAACAAACAATGTCAAAAGAGGCGAAAGATTACTTGAAGTTTAACCTGATATTCATAGAATTTGTCAAAATACTACACAATTGCTCCTGTCTCGGTGCCAAATGGTACACGTCCACCGATGCATCGGGCTCCTCCGTGGTCCAAATCAAGTTGATGTTGTAGAGACTATAATACATGGGATATATTCAATCAACCAGCGGAGAGAAGGTTGATCAATGAAATTGTTGAATGATGCCCGGAGGTGGTTGTTGTGGATGGTATGCCGGGCCGCTGGCATAAAAATTAGAGCACTCTCAAGCGTCTAGATTGCTGCGCACTCACATCATTTGAAAACACGTAGAAAATCCCCGCTATGCGGTTTCAGTCTTTTGGAATTTCTAGAAAAGGGTCTTCGAGGGATTGGGCTTGGCAGTCTCGGGCGTTTGGGCCAGGTTTTGGTCTTCAATCTGCTTAGTCTGCTTAGGCTGCGGCGTTGGCTTGGTTTCAAGCTTCACAGTCTTTTCGATGTGGGGTTGTGCTAGTCGGGCCTCTTCGGCTTCAACGGTCTCAGCCCACTTCTCCAGGTAGTCCTTGCCCTCAAATCCTCTGATCACAGTAATCTTTCGGCCATTTCTCTCGATATCTTGGACGTAGTTCGACGGTGTCTTGCGCATGTGTTTTGTGATGAAGGGGGCGAGCTATCGCCATGTTAGCAGATCCAACATTTCAGTCAACTAGTACCAAATGGTTCTCAATGCTCACCATGAATGGCTCTTTCGCAGTCTCGGCGTAATGTGCCCTGCCAGGAATTTCAAGCTTTTCCGCAGGCATATAAACACGGTGCTTTGTCATATCGGGCCTGTATGTGCCTCTCTTGTCAAAATGACCCATAGAGCCGGTCCGGTTTCCCTTGTAGTAGCCGCCATTGACCTGCTTCGTAGTCAAGCGCAAACGCACCATCATTGGCTGCGTGGGCTTGAACATTATGGCGACAGTTCTATGGCCTTGAAGTTGGAACAGAAGGGGGATAGAGCGAGTCGAGTTGTCCCGGAGGAAGATGGGAGACAAAACTCGACGAATGAACGGGTCGCGCTAATCTCCGCGCCGAGAACTTTTTTTCCCGGCAGAAAAAAAGTTCAACACCATCTACACCCCTCTTGAAAGCTGAAAACAGCCATCAGATCATTTAGTACTATTTTAGTACTAATCTGAAGCTTCTTTCTTAGTCGTGAATTCGATTTCTTAACTCATACGCCAGTATGCCTCGCAGCCAGACTCAGAAGCAGGGTCCGAAAGACCGCTCGACGCAGAAATCAGCACCGAAGCGGAAAAGCACTCGGTCGCTAAATGCACTGTCTATTGCAGAGAAAACAATTCACACTAGATTGGGTGTTAAACGCAGTCGTCTTGGAGCCTACGATGATGGTACCTTCAACCGCAGGAGAAACACCGGTGGCGATGACGACGACAACGACGAGGAGGATACCGCCGCCCAATACAAACGCCGCAGAACCGAGGACACCGGAAGCCTTGACGGTGGCAGTGACAGTGAAGGACACGAATGGACTCTCGGACAAGTAAATAGCGATAACGACAGCGAATTGGACAGCGACGAAGCTCTCGGTGAGAGCGACGAAGAGCGATTCGAGGGCTTCACTTTCCGCGCATCCAAGTCTAAATCTCACCCGAAAAAAGCGCCACCCAAGCCAAAGAAGCCTACGGAGATCAACTTGTCTGAAGATGTCGACGAGTCGGATGAGGAATCTGACGGTGACGACTACGACGAGGACGATGATCTGGGAGAAGACGCCGTTGACCTTGCTACAGCCTGGGATATGAATGCAGCGGCCGAGGAGGAGGAAGCCCAGGAAGCAGCTGCGAAATCCAAGCGGGCTGCGAAGTATGATAGCGACGAGGATTCCGGGTCAGAGGGGGACAGTGAAAGCGATGACAGTGACGATGGGCTTTCTATCTCGGACGACGATGCAGATGTGGATCCGCACGGACTTTCAAAATTACAAGACTTTGTCCAGTCCATGGAGACCGAGAAACCTACGAAACGTACCCAAAAATCACAGGAACAGGGCAAGCCCTCGGAATACGGCTTGACGACCGCCAACAAATTGACTGTCGCCGATCTACTGCCCTCAATCACAGACTCTCGCCTCAAGAACTCGCTCAAACATATCGACTCTGTTGTCCAGGCATCAAAATCGGGCATTCCGGGCAAGCTAGATGCTCCTCTAGCGAAACGCCAACAGGACCGACTTGACCGAGCTGCTGCCTATGAGAAGAGCAAGGAGACTTTGAACCGATGGCTCGAAACCGTCAAAGCCAACCGCAGAGCCGAACATCTTTCTTTCCCGCTACGTGATCCTGATGCTGAGCAGACTCACCGCTTAGAAGCTGCCAAGCCCCAGACAGACCTCGAAAACGTCATCCAGAACATCCTTGTGGAGAGTGGGCTGGCTGAGGCTGAAGGCAAATCAGCTGAGGACCAGATTCAGAGTTTCGAGGAATTACAGGCCCGCAATCTTCCTATTGAGGAGATCCAGGCTCGGCGCGCAGAACTCCGCAAGCGACGTGACCTGCTTTTCCGAGAGGAAGTACGCGCCAAGCGCATCAAGAAGATCAAGAGCAAGTCTTATCGCCGTGTTCACCGGAAAGAGCGCGAAAAGATAGAGCAACAAGAGCACAATGCACTCTTGGAAGCCGGCGTAGATATGGACGACATGGACCAGGAGAAGAACGAGCGTATGAGAGCCGAGGCTCGTATGGGCTCCAAGCATCGTGAAAGCAAATGGGCCAAGGGTTTGAAACAGACGGGTCGCACTGCCTGGGACGAAGAGGCCCGCAACAGTGCAGCCGACTTGGCCCAAAGAGAAGAGGAGCTACGGAAGAGAATCGAAGGTAAGCGTGTTTCTAATGGAGACGATGACTACTTGGGCTCTTCAAGCTCCGAGTCAGAAGATGAGGACCCTTGGAACGAGGAGGCTTCCGATGTGGAAAGACAGAAGATCCAAAAGAAGCTCAAGGCCCTCGAGGGCAGTGATGATGCTGGTGATGGCATGAAGGGGCGCCATGCCGACCTTTTCGAAATGAAATTCATGAAAAATGCCGATGCCGCCCGCAAAGAACAGAATGATGCGGAGCTTCGCCAACTCAATCGTGAACTCCGCGGAGAGGAGTCTGCGTCTGAGGCAGAGTCTGAGGTCGGTCGACGAAAGTTCGGTCAATCAAAGAAGACCGACCCCAAACCTCGCGCAAAGCAGTTGCCCAAGAATGAGTTTGAGGAGAAGCTAGATTCAGATGATGAAGCTGCACAGGCCGCAGGAGCAGACGACGATGTTGACATTGTTATGAACGGCACCACCAAGCACAAGTCAGGAGCTTCTGGCAACAAGAAGGTTTCACAATCCTCACGACACTCTCCCGATCGGCAAAAGGATACGCCAGTAGAGGAGGAGAACCCTTGGCTGATTCAGACCGAACGGACCAACCGTCGCCGAACCGGCCCAGATGCCCAAGAGAGCATTGACATTTCACTTGATGCTACCCAGCCCGAAGTTATTCCAGTGGAGCAACAGAGCAAGAAGCAAAAGAAAACCAAGGCAGCCCTCGCGAAACAACAATTCGATGAGAATGACAGCGATGATGAGGAGAAGGTGCCCGTCTTGCTTAAGAACCACGACCTCGTGAAGAGAGCTTTTGCCGGCGATGAAGTTGTCCAGGAGTTCGAACAAGACAAGATGGACACCATTAAAGATGAAGGTGACCAGGTGGTGGACAATACACTTCTGGGCTGGGGCAGCTGGGCCGGCGAAGGCGTCAGCAAGAGACAACAAAGGAAGCAGAAGCGAGACCTGACTACTGTGGCCGGTGTGAAGCCTCAGCAGCGCAAGGATGCCAAGCTTGATCGGGTCATTATCAACCAGAAGCGAGTCCAGAAGGTAAGCCAAGTTGTCTTCCTATACGAAGACGGACAACTCACTGACTTTTTACTCTAGAACAAGAAGTACATGGCAAGCCAATTGCCGCATGAGTTCGAGACCAAGCAGCAATACGAACGGTCCCTGCGGCTGCCTTTAGGCCCCGAATGGTCTACGAAAGAAACCTTCCAGAGTGGCACCAAGCCTCGTGTCATGATCAAGCAGGGCGTCATCAAGCCCATGTCAAAGCCGATGCAATGAATGTAAATATCTCACTTCACATATGCCATGTCCAATGTTAGCACCTAATGCGACCCATCTTGCGGCGCCTTTTGAATCAAAAGCATTTCTATTCTTGCTGTACTCCATTCCACGTGCCCAAGTGCACATTATAGTTATATAGTTCGAATGGTTCGTACTTCATATCATTTCACAACAATGTTTCCACTAGGCCTAGTGTCCTGACTCAGGATAGTAACTATTTTATATCTGGACAATGTAGGTGGCATACGTGCCTCTCTCGACCTTGGGATTGTCAACTTAAGACCTTGGATAAACCATTAGAACATGTCCCATGATTCTATAAGAAGTAACTAAAAAGCCATCCAAGGATTGTCTGGTGATTCATATTGAGTCATCCCTGAGTTCTTAACAATTTGAATCTGAATATATTCATGCTTTTTCTTCCTTTTCAATCCTGTCGCTCTACTCCACATGGGCGATCCCTTGGCAAGTGCTGCCTGGAGTTGACATCTTCAAATATTTGACTATTCACGTCTATCTCCCAGGTATCCCCAATTATCTGGTAACAGTACTATATACATAATCCAGTAAGTGGATGGTCGTTGCAGTGAATCCCGCACACATTCTTGGGGGTGGGGAACGCACGCGGACTCGACGTGTTGCCTGTTGCGCCCTACATTGCTGAGCCAGACATGATACCCAACTCATGTCATTCCCCTTGGCTGAAATATGTACTGTACAGTACTAACATCTGTGAAGATCGACAGTCTGTGGAATCTGTCTGCAGACCATTCACAACAAACCAGCCCGTGTGTTGTCCCAATTTGGGTGTTTGAGCTCCGAGGGGGTTTGATTCTGTTGGAATTTATAGCACATACTTGTAAGATTGCCTCTCTTTGAATTTATTTGTCTCCTTTTCAAGCTTCACTTGCCTTTTGGACCCCTCCGAAGGCGTCTACCCTCAAGTGATTCATATCCGATTTGGATCGAATTGAGGAATAGCACAAAGGCTTCATACTTCCTACAGGCTCCGCGTGTTTAATGCCGGTGACGAGATCTGGCTTTGCATCATGGACTCACGCTTGAAATGGAAGGCTACAGCCGTGCTGACTTGGCTTTTAGCTACAGAAAAAGCCTACTGTCTCCCACACGTGGGAAATGAGGTAGAAGCTACTCTGCAAAACACAGCTACCGAACCTGCACGTGCCTTTGAGACTCAGTATCCACCTTCAAACAGTGAAGACAGGCTGCTTATTCCCGAGTCCCACCCTGTACGTCTCAGAGAAATGTGCTGCATAGTATATGGTATGGTATTGACATTTTGGACTAGGTGTATCGAGTAGCTTTGGAACAGGACGGTCATTCATCGCAGCAGCCTTTTCCACAGTTTGACATTATCCGATTTGTTGACGGCTTGGAAGATTTGTTGGGCTCAGGTGGTAATACTCCTGCACCAACACTGACTGCGACAGGACAGTCTACTGGTACAGGAAAATCGCATCCTATTCAAGCTACGACTTCAGCAAAACAGCCTGAAAACCCAGCGCCAATTCATACAGCTGGATCTGTGACCTACTCACCGCAGGCTGGGCCAAGTACTACTGTGGCACATGGTATGATTGACCATGAATTATAGCAACTTCAAATTCTAATGCTTAGTAGAGCCCGTTCACATACTTTCTTCATCCTCGGTTACATCAAAAACCATGCCTAGCCAAGATATCTTCCAGCCGGTTGCGACTGGTCCTGTCCCTGCTAATATCAAGTCCCGAGATGATCACCCTGTGCAGAACCAGCACGTAAGATTATCCCAAATGTGAGCACGAATCAAACATTCTAATGTTGTGGTATAGGCCAATACTACCAACCCTATTGCGACGAATAAGTTCTACGCAGGCCTTTTCTTGGGCTCTCAGACCAATGCTACCTTCACTCAACCCTACTCTCTGGCATGGTCCAAGGGAGGTGGCTCCCTGAAGAGTTGGGGTATGGCTGTCTCCCATGTCCAGCCTCATATGCTTGCATACGGACCACCGAACAGCAAGATCCCCGGAAACCCAGTACAATACTACATCAACCCAATCGGCCTTCAATCTCTGATCTTCTCTGCAACCGAGCTTAACCAGTCTTCCATCATGAACGTCAATCAGCCAAAGGCTTTCTCGGCCCACGCTGTGATCAAGCCCTCTGAAGGCTCGGCTAAGCAGATTGTCTTCCCCGTTGTGCAAGGCATGGGCTACGCAACAGCTGTGTACAGTGATCTGCAGCCGGTGATTGAAAGTGGCGTTTTCTTCCGTAAGGTCGTCAGCGCTGGTTCGCCTAGGTCCGGCATCTTCAAGTACCAGGTTTACCTCGAGGATGACATGACCTGGCTTCTCTATGCCACTCCGGCTGATGGCAAGGATCCGGAGTTCAAGCTAGTCTCAAATTCCCGTCTTCGCGGGCCCCAGGGCTTTTCTGGTACTATTCAAGTTGCCAAGAACCCCGCGGGCAAGTCTGGCGAGAAATTCTATGATAACTCGTCTGGTGTATACCCAGTGGCAGGAAAAATCTCTGGTTCTGTCACAGATGATGTAGGCACCTACACGCTCTCTTGGAAGAAGGCCGGAAAGGATGTCACCGGCACTCCTCTGATCATGTTCGCCCTACCCCATCACGTCCAATCCTTCGATGGTGCCACCAAGAGCCGTATCACTGATATCAACCTTCGCACCACAACAAAGGGCAACTCCACTGCAGTCATTGGAGAAAGCTGGACTATGGTCGAACAAAGCCTCCCCATTGATATTGGATTCGCTCCGTGGTCAACCACCCAGGGCAGTTCTAACGAGCTCTCAGCCTCAGCTCAGCATGCCATTCTCCAGGCTGCTCCCCAGGAGCTCAAGCAGAACATTTCAGGCCAGACGGACCTTAACAGCATGTACTACAGCGGCAAGGCGTTGAGCAAGTTCGCAACGCTAGTGTATACTGTCAACCAGCTTGGCAACAGTTCTGATCTAGCAACAGATGCCTTCCAAAAGCTAAAGAAGTCTTTCGATCTATTCGTGCAAAACAAGCAGCAATACCCGCTCGCCTACGATTCCGTCTGGAAGGGCGTTGTCTCGACCGCCGGCTACAATGGCGACCTCAACCAGGATTTCGGAAACACCGCATACAACGATCACCATTTCCACTACGGCTACTTCATCCAAGCTGCCGCCATCATTGGCTCTCTTGATCCCAGCTGGCTAGCCGCGAACAAGGAGTGGGTCAACATGCTTGTTCGTGATGCTGGTAACTCTGTTCCAAATGATCCTTACTTCCCATTCTCGCGCTCGTTTGATTGGTATAACGGTCACTCATGGGCGAAGGGTTTGTTCGAGTCTTTCGATGGCAAGGATCAAGAATCTACCTCGGAAGATACCATGTTCGCGTATGCGATCAAGATGTGGGGGCAGACGACCGGCGATGCTAGCATGGAAGCTCGTGGCAATATTATGCTGAGCATCCTGGGTCGGTCTCTCAATAATTACTTCCTGATGGAGGATGACAATGTCAACCAGCCTGCGAACTTCACTGCGAACAGGGTAACTGGAATTGTAAGTACCACCATTCTCTTTCCATGTCTAGCCCAAACTCGACATTAACAGACCAAAACAAACAGCTATTCGAGAATAAGGTTGATCACACCACCTATTTCGGTGCCAACCTCGAATACGTCCAAGGGTATGTATACCACCGTCCCGCTGTTTTTTTTCACTCCGAACTATTGCTCACAAGTATTAGTATTCACATGCTACCGCTCATGCCGCACAGTCCCTTCACACGCCGAAAGGAGTTTGTGCGCCAGGAGTGGCAGGCAATGTTCGCTGAAAACGCCTCTACTCCGGCCTCCAAGGTTGAGGGCGGATGGAAGGGTGTGCTCTACGCCAACCTGGCCCTCATCGATCCCAAATCGTCGTGGGACTTCTTTGCCCAGTCGAATTTCGACTACAGCTGGATTGATGGTGGTGCTACGCGTACTTGGTACCTGGCATTTATTGCTGGTGAGTCTCTTGAATGGAGTATGATGTCTTTTCATACTAACGAAACATATTAGGTCTGGGGGGTGCTCCTTAAGGTGGTTTAAGGCTTATTTCTTGGTGATATGGAGTTGGGTAATGACTTCTTCTCTTTATGCTTATTTTTTCTGGCCTTATGATTTGCTTTTCTCTACTTGCTTCTTGTTTTCGGACGGTCCTTACTGGTGGCTCGGAGTTTTCTTCGATTCTTGTGCTGTACTTCGTATATATAGAACGAATAAGAATTATAGAATATCATTTCTAGCTCGATATTAGCTTGTTCAGTTAATAGACATCTATGCGCCTTTATCTTATTTCTTGGTAAATATATATATCCGTGGATACAACCTAGTCTCTTATTTCTCCCGTTATTAAGATTCCTCTACAACCATAAAGTTATACTTCACATAGAACATTTTGGCCCTTGGTGGTATACATGACCTATTATCGGTTCAGTAGTCCATCCATAGTTCCCATCGCCATACCATGTCCAGGAACCGTCAGAATATATCGCAAATATACTAACACAGTAAACTACCTGAATCTATGCCCCAGCAACAGGGAGCTCTAAATCCACTACCCAAGGCGCATTCCTCGCCTCATACGCGACCGTCATAATACTCCCATTAACAAAAAGCGTCTCCTCCCCAACCCGCAGCGGCCGATCCGCCCCAGCACTAACATCACAGAACGCTCCGCGATTCTCTAACATCTCCTCCATATCCGTCGCCACATCTTCAAGTCTAACACCACCATCTCCATCTCCACCCGCCTTATCATCCCACACTCCGCGCTGTGCACCCCACCCTTCATGGATATGACCGAAGAGATGCAGTCGTGGCCTTGCGCGCCGCGCCGCGCGGAGGAGATGCTCACATCCAACGCTCAAATCAGGAGGGACCTGATCCAGGACCCCGGCGGGCGGGCCGTGGGTTAGTAGGATGTCGATGGCCGGGTAATCCGGGATTGGATTTTGAGGCTGTGGGAGTGCGGCGGGGGCGGGGTTGTAGCGGTCTTGGTCGCGAGGGTATGCGAAGGCCCAGTTGTAGAATTCTGGTTGGTAGGGGGAAGCGTAAAGAGTGAATTTTGCGCCTGTTGATAGGGTGAAGGAGTGGATTCCTTCTTCGAGGTAGATTATTCCTGCGTTTCGGGCAGATTCGCTTGTCCAGAGGGCTTTTATAGAGCGGGCGTAGGTTTTGAGAGAATCCGTGTTTGGGGTTTTGGCTGAGGAAGTGCGTAGGGTGGTTTGGAGGTTGTCGTCTGATAGCAGGATGGATTCTTCGCCTAGTTGCTCCGGGCGTTGATGGCGGGTGTAGCCGAAGGTTGTGAAGTATTCTTCGTCCAGAGTTATATCGTGGTTGCCTGCTATTACGAGCTTGAGCTCGGCGTCGGCGTCGATGAGCATGGCGATCATTGCTTCGTGCTCGACGCGGTACCCCACCTTTGTGAGGTCGCCGGCGTGGAGGAGGATGTTTGCTTTCGGGAGTGGATAGCGGTAGGCATAATCGGTTCTTTGAGGTGGGTGTGGTGTGCTTGTATGAGTGTCTGATATCATACAGATGCGAGTCTTGATGGTCGCCATGTTGGTTGATTGAGGGAAGGTTGGGCTGTGGGGGAGATATGGATAAGCATCAAGCTCGGGCCCTAGTAGCGCCCAGAGCCTCCAAGTACCCGGCTGTCCAACACCCCTACTGGGAACTGCTCATTGATAAGTTCTATAAAAGATACATTGGAACATGCTCTTCTGCATAAGTCTTTCTACGAATTGTATTACTTGTATACTACGCAATTAAGAATGCAATAATTACCTAAAGAAGAGATGAAACTAGGAAATAATTCCCATGGATTTGACGGCTCAGAGCTCTACAGACAAATTGCATCCTGTGGATGCTCTGATCATGACATAGCTGAAACTCCGATCCACCCGTTGCAACAACCGAATATTTTATTTTTTCGTTTACTTGCGGATAGCCTTCTGGTAGAAAGCAAGCTCCTCACCCTCCAAAATGTAACCGTCGCAGCGGCCGGACTGGCCGGGGCGCGAGGCAACAACGGCGAACAGACGACCGGACTCGAACTGGCGCTCGATAGCAGACTCGGTCTTACCGGAGTCAGCGAAGCGGGCAGCCTGCTTCTTGGCGACGGAGGCGGACTTCTTCTCCTCCTCAGTAGCATCAGCCTTCTGCTGGCGTCTACGGCCGATGGGCTGGCCGTAGTGGGCCTCGTACCACTGACGGAAGGGGGCAGCGTCAATCTGGACAACGGCCGACTTGGTCAGGGTGTTTGTGCGGACCAGCTCGTTGTTGGAGGGGTGGAAGGACACTCCAATGATACGGGTCTTGCGGGAGACACCCTCGGAGCCCCACGAGAAGTTACCAGACTCGAGACGGAGACCACGGAACTTCTGGTTGCCACCACGGGTGCGGACAAGGTGGATGCGCTTGGTGCCAATACGGGTGTTGGCGGGCTGACGACCCTTCTCGAAAGCTCTGTAGGACAAAGATAGGTAAGAATCTGCAAGTGGTATATCGAATCCTTCCCCTCTCCTTTCAAATGAAAGAAACGTTCGACATCATGCTGGATTGATTGAATCGTACCTCTTCTTGCGGTAGAAAGCGCGCTTGGCACCGGTGGCGCTGCGCTTGTGGCGAGAATCCCGAGAAATACCCATGTTTGCGATTGATGGAGGGGTCTAAGTCGACAGACACAAGTTAGATATTGTTGATTGTGGACCTTCAACAAGTTTTCTTTTTTTCTTTCTTTCAATCCTTCTGTTTCGTCGCGAGCGCCGTGCAAGATCAATCTTCGAATATGGAACAGTTGGGCGACAGTGACGGTGGAGTGGTTGGATGACCGTTGAAAGCGAGACAGAATCGAAAGTTGATGTTGAGGGAATTGAATACCGATGATCGAAATTGATGGGCGCAGCGAGCGAAACAGAATTTGTCGAAAGAAAACTTGCAGGAGTTGAGATAGCCCGGTAACTCACCTCTAAATGTGCAGCCCTTCACCAGAAACACAGATTAGTTGTCGTAGGGTTGTCGTGGGAGTTTGAGGTCGTGGAGTCGCTGAATTTCGCAGGGCGCACTGTGTCGCTCGCTTGTGTAGTGCCCTAACCGACACTAGGCCGCATTTGGATTAGTGGCCCCAGTCACTGGATCGGTCAGGTGATAACCAGATGGCTAGTGGCTGACTCATCGTAAAGTCACGTGCTGGTCACTACATTATCATGATCTGGTCGTACACGATCTGGACATTCGAGCCATTTACATTACAACGATGTACAACATTGAACCCCAATTGCGTCTATTTGCAGTTATACTCACAACTCTGAAATCAATACAAATACAAATGATCGGCTTTCCCAGCTAGTAATTGCACCTATCACCATTGACTACCTATGCTACCCTCTACTGGCTCTTGCCGTTCTTCTTCGCCTTCTGCTCCTTCACAAACTTCTTAATGCGCGAGAACGAACCGTAACCCTCAACAAAACACGACGCAACCCACTTCCACCACAAACCCGACATAACAGGCACATTCAGGGGCTTTAGTTGAGTCACAACTAGCAACACGGTCTCAATGATATGAATAGCCACGACATACGGCTGGAGAATGCAGACGAGGCGCGGAAACCAGGGCACACGCTGGAGACCCAAATACTCGTAGAATTCCGAGCCAGGCTGCAGATTGCTGCGTTGAAAGCAGGTGATGTAGAACAGAAAACACAGCACAAAGATCACAGCCTGGATGCCGCGCGGGGCACGGTACTCAGTGAGTGTGATCTCGCTGCGGCCCAGACGCTTTAGGCTCTCCTTGTGCATAGCAACCATTCGGCCGCGTGCCTCCGAGTAGTCCTTCATTGCCGGTTCGATGGGGACGCTGTAGCGGGTACCGTGAGCGGTGATGATCAGGTAGGAGGTGCTGATTTCTTCTAATTGGGCGTTTTTGGCTTGGGCGGATGTGATACCGCAGTAGGCTTGTAGGAATAGTACGAGGGAATCTTGGTGGTCGGCGTTCATGTGCTTGATGATGAAGTCTTTGGATGACATGGCGGCGGTTGTAGTGGGAGTGTAAAGTGCCAATTGGGCTGGATTCGAAAGAATTGAAACAGTTGCGATTTGAACCGAGTACCACGTATGATATATGGGGAGTTGGTAACACAACGGGTTAGTAGAAATAAGTGCCAAGGCCCGGGCCTCGGCTTCACAGTTTCCGCTATGCCTGACACTTTACAGAAGTTTACACTCACCACACGCCTACTACAACACTGCTGCACTTTTAAGAAAGATGAATTCAACTCCATTCAAATGATTGTCCAACAAATATACATAGCAGTATACGCTCCGGTATATTGCATCCCCTTGGCCCTGCACGCCAGGAAAATCATTGTAAAAAAGAAAAGAACAAGATCCTGAACAGACAAACGGAAAGGTATTACATCAAAACATGGCTCTATGGAAAGCAGCATCCAATCAATTGAAGCATTGAAAAAGGATCACTCGTGACGACGTTGGATCTTCGTGATAGGATTGGCAATGGAACGGGGATGGGTGGTCAAGCCCTGTTGTTGATATAAAACGCGATCAACTCCTAATTCGGTCCTTGAGCAGACATTCTTTGAAGGGGTTTGGGGAGAGGAATGCAAGCCTCGGTTATTACTTACATGAGAGCTAAAGTAAGATCTCCATGAATGCGTGCCTTCAGCTCGACCTCGATTTCCAGATTCAGTTCTAATCTCAGCTTCATGCCTTCCTCGTCCAGCATTGATTTCTCCTCCTTATGAAGGACGTCCATGCCACCAGAGGGCTTGAAGTCCGAGTTCTCATTCGAGTACGGCTGCATGGCTTCCTCGTCGTCGGATTCGTACTCGTCTGAATCATATTCAGATTCGTCCGTGTATTCGTCATCTTGTTGAACGGGTTGTTTTTTCTTCTGCAGCTGTTTGTTCTTCTGTGTCTTGGTTTGTGGTACTTCTTCATCATATTCCTCGTCGGTGTAGTCGTCGGCGCTGTCATAGTCTTCGCCGTCGGAGAGGTCCTCTTGGACGGGGAACTTCTTGGGCTGCTCTTTGGTTTTTTCAAGGGTAGCCATAATGGATGTGATGGGACTAGAGTATAGAGGATAGAGGTAGGAAGAAGACGGTGTCAAAAAGGAAATAAAAAAAGATAAAAGCAGAAGAGTATCTTAATAACATTGTCTATATGATGTATCATTCAAGACGGGGAAACGGCGCACAGACATCATATCAAAGTGCGGAACATGACGTTGGAGGCTTTGCTTTCCAACTTCTCTCCAACTTCTCTCCAACTCGCCAAATCCCCAGCCTGCACTGGCTTCTCGCTAGGCCTGACCGTGGTAAAGGCCGTGTCCATACTGAAAACTGCAGGATAAATCTCCAGAATCTGCCAAGTTGCCAACAAAATGTGCGTATCCTCGTGTCCGATCCGTGGAAACAACGACAGACTCGTGGCGTGAACCAATGGAAAAGAAAAGCAACTAGGAACAAGTAAATCACTTGTCATCGGGCGGTTTGATTGGCTGGCTCCATCCTGGCAATCTATAACTGGCAATTTGCCGTGAAGGCTTTGACGTCGAGTGGCGTCATATCATTTTGCGTTACGTCTGTTTAATCTATTAGTGTGGGGAATATCAATGCACCAACTTCAGCGCGATCTAGGCTGATTGGCGCATGAAACTCGCTGACCACTATATTTATCCGATGCACACTTTATATACCCAGTTGCTCCATATGCGCTCCACATCGTGATCCTTGTCCCGGAACGTCATCTATGCAGTACCTGGGGAGTCCCAGCCCGATGTCTGGCACCGATGGACCCAGGAACCACGGCATTGTTCCCAGCTGACGTCGGAGGCGGTTAGGTTCTGTTTACGTCCGGTTTTATCCAAGCCCTGTGACTCTGATGATATAAACGGCTGTGAAATCTACATCATTGAACTAGACGCACGATTACATAGTTCATTTATTAACGCTTTGTCCTTCATTATTTCGTGCTCGAATCGATTCATATTCCCCTCATTCCCCCTCCTGACAGCCTTCTTCTTCTTCTTTTATTTTCACTATGTCCGACCAGGAACAACCTCCCACTCCTAATCCCGACTCAACAAACACAACCCCCAACAAGCCCAAACGTGCCCCTCCCAAGCTAGGCAAGAAGTCTCCTGCCAAGCAAGAACAAACCCCTCCATCCTCGGAACAGGACCAGGACCAGGATCAGGACCAGGACAAGCAACCTAAAGAAGACGAGCCTAAGCCTGAAGAGCCTGCCAAACAACAAGACCCAGAGTCCGAGCCTGAGCCCGAGCCCGAGCAAGAAGACCAGCCCGAACCAGAACCAGAACCCCAACCCAAGCCTGAACGTCGTCGTCGCAGACCTCGTCCCCGCCCACAAGAATCAGACACCGAGTCCATCGCCCGCAGCGAAATGGAACCAGAGCCCAGACCTCAGCGCCGTGTCCGTCGCCAGCGCCAGCCACAACAACAACAACAAAATGACAGTCCGCTCGGCGGGCTTCCTGGCGTTGGCGGCGTAGACCAGGCCGGCCAGCTCGTGCAAAACACAGCCGGTAATGCCCTAAACGGGGTGACTGGCAGTGCAGGCAAAGCTGTTGGCGGGGTCCTTGGCGGCGGCGAGGAGAAGAAAGACGATGATGGCGGTCGTGATGAGCAGCTTCGTCTGCGGTTAGACCTCAATCTGGATATTGAGGTTCAGCTCAAGGCGAAGATTCATGGTGATTTGACGATTGGTTTGCTGTTAGTATTCCCTCTTTTTTCTTCTTATGCACATCTAACCCTCCCATTTCCCCGTGGCTCTTAACTTGACTCCATACTTCTGTTGGTGCATTTCACTGACTGACAATCTAGTAATTAATCTTGCCGCTTCACAGCAAGTAGAGAAGAGTACATACCTCTTCTAAATATGCTTATCCTTTCTCATCTCGATGAGCATTCGGGCCCCGTTCCACGGAGGTATCGGGTGTGCCTACGGATACATTCAATGACTTGTTTATGGTTTATGTTACAGTGATGCACGATGCATGGGTTGATTTTCTTTTCTTTCTTGTTGATATTTCTTGTCTGCAGATAGGCCATCCTCCTGGATCTGGCAACTATCCTGGTGTCTTGCGGTGTACAATACATTTAACCTTCAGTCTTGGAAAATATCTGAGTCAGGAGAATTGGAATAATGAACTAGGCTTTTGTGTTAATATCTTCTAATCCGATGCTGTATAGATTGAAACAAGTTGCCTAGTAAAGAGAACTTTCGGCTTGCACTGATTGAATCTCGGACGGGATGCAGTGTTCATAACTTTTTAAAAAGCAGGTCAGTCATACTTGGTTGAAGCCATTAGAATAAAAAATATATGTGTATTAGAACACTACACTCTAGACAACTCATCTAGCTATCTATTATCATTTGTGCAAAGAATCTACTCCCAACAGAAAACCGGGCGAAGTAAAAGAAATTAAATACAAAAAGAATCAAAACACCGACAGATAGAGAAAAGAGTAGGTAGTATAACCAAATCATATATGCTCTCTTCTCATCCTTTATACCAAGTGTATTTGAACCCATCTAACCAAAGAAAAAAAAAACTGTAGCTCTTTCAAAGAGCCACGAGACCATTCCATCCTACTATAGCCTACAAACCCGCAACATACATCAGTCCGTATCCAATTGTGACAATAACCACAAAGCACATGAGACTGGCCGGGATGCCGCGGGTCAGGAAATGGTGGACTTGGAGATATCGCTGGCCGGTCTGAGGTACTTCAGTCATGATAGCAGCTAGGAGAAACAAGTTAGCAAGAGAGCTCGATACAAGTGAACTGAAGGAAGGACATACTCATATTAGGGAATCCACTCGTGGGCAATGCCATCGCAACAGAGCACATCAAGGCACTAGCCATGACCAACAAGTTGGGGTGAGGATTTTCCATGCTAACGCCGATCTGGCGGACAAGCGGTAGGATGATAAGGGCGGCGACGGTATGCGAGATGAAGGTGGCCATGACAAGGATGAGAGAACAGAAGACTAAGAGGACGCTGTATAGGCTGAGGTTCTCGACACGCGCGGTGATACCCATGGCGATGGTGTGCAGCAAGCCCGATGAAGTGACGGCCTTGCCCAGACACAGACCACCGGCGGCGAGGATTATGATCGTCCAGAGGAAGTTGTTGAAGTCCTCTTTGTTGAGGATGCCGGTGCCGAAGAAGATGACGAGAGGGATGATGGCGATGACGCCCATGTCGCCGAAAATGTGCTCGAGCTGGTGGCTGGCGCACCAGAGGACGATCGTCAGGAGCGTGACGATGCTGATAAAGGACTGCATGCCGGTCCAGCGGTCTTTGACAGGGCGGATGGGCATCACGGTTGAGTTGCGGCCCGGGCGGAATGTCACCAGCAGCAGAACCCAGATGAGTAGAATGGAGATGATGCAGACGGGCAATGCGATGAAGAACCATGTGCCCCAGCTGATGTTCGGCTGCATGTTCTGCAGGGCAATGATATTCTGCGGCGAGGCAATCGGGGACGCTGCACCACCGACATTGGCGGCTAACGCGATACCCAGCACGAGTGCCTTGGCGAAGTCCGACTCGGGAGGCATGTTGCGCAGCAAAGGCTGGATGATAGAGTAGCAGAGCACAGGGGACGCAACATTGCTGATCCACATACTCAAGAACATACTCACAAACATGTTGGTCAATAACATCACAGATGGCTTCGATCCAGCTTTGCTTAGCACAAACATGGCCATGCGCCGTGCGATGTCGTACTTGGACAGCGCCGCTGCGATTGAGAAACCACCCAGGAGTAGCATAATCACAGGAGTCCACATCGCCGCGAACACCTTGCCGACTGATTCCTTGGGTCCCAGCCGCGTGTGCGGCTCTTCGTCTGACCGCATGATGCCTAGAGTCACGACTAGGAATGGGATAAGAAGCGAAGTGACAAACAGCGGAATGGCCTATCACTCAACGTTAGCATTCAATGTGAGTCAATAAACAAACAGTAACCCATACCTCAGTGGCCCACAAGATACTAACGAGGACTAGCATAGCCAAGCAGTTCTGCTCCTCGGGAGTTTCCATCACGTTCAAGGAAAGCATTACGCCGAATATGGCGATACTAAATATCAGCGTACCAAAGCTCAAGCTACAGAGCCATAACGGAAACTGGAATCGACCAAGCGGGGTTGACATCTCCTGGGTGCGGATCTCGTTCTTGTCGCCCTGGCGCCGGGAGCTAGCCGGGTCATCGCCGCCCAGGAGGGTCCGGCGAATACCAACATTGGCGGCCTGCGCACGTCGTTCGATTTCGATCATCTCGCGCCAGACAGTGTTCCGCTCCCAAACGACATGCTCACGCAGATGCAGACGCAGCTCGCGCCTAGCAGACTGTTTATCGTTCTTCGTGACGATGCCCGCGTACACACCCTCCACGTTCTCAATATGGCGATCGATTTCAGCCATGGTACTTTCAGTGAAAGGTGGTGCGGGATGGACAACAGTGGCTAGGTAGTCTCGGCGCAGGCTGCGGTCCAAGGTTTTGTCATACTTCTTCAGGGCCTTGGCGAAGCCAGTCTTGTTCAGCTCGATGAAGGAGCGAAGTTCGCAGAGTGAGACGTAGCATTCGATCAGGCGCTTTTTTAACGATATACCGGTATTATAAAGAGCGCGGAAATCCTCGTCGTTCAAGTACGACTCGTGCGGTTCTCGGCTGGTCGCCGGTCCAAAGTAGGAAGAGTCTACCAAATCACCGTAGTGGTCCTCCGTGCCAGACTCGCCATCGATCGACTGCGACACTCTCGGGCGATGTGAGACGGCCGCCGGGGAACGATCGTCGTCGCTATCACCACCTTCTCCTTCATCGTCCGCCATCGAGTCATTGCTCACAGCACTAGACCGCCGGCGCGGAGCCGAGACATTGTTGCCGCGGCGGGAGCTTGCCTTTATGATTGTCTCGCTGACGGGGTCCATATTAACACCGTCCGTTTCGGAAAGATATACACCAGCGTCTTTTATGAGCTCATCTGCGAGTTCAAAAATCTCCGCCTCCTTCTTCTGATAGAAGGAACAGATCTTATCCATCTCAACGTCAAGAGCCCTTTTAAAGATTGCATCCGGGTTGCTCGGCTCAGCGCCCAGCAGCGGAGCGGACTCTACATCTGTGGTAGACGGTCCCTCAACGCGATTGACCTGTTTCTCGAGGGTGTAGATCCTAGTCACGATGCAACGTTAGCACCATCGAAATAATCATCCGGGCCGGTGCATCGATCCTGTGCAATGTGACACCAATTCAGATTCCCGAATCTGCATGTACACACTATCCCAGCCACAGACGCCCTGATATTCAACCCAACAACTTACAATTTCTTCAAATTGCTGTACGCGATGTAGTTCGAGCTCCAATCGGGCACAGCATTAAACTGAATACTATGCGAGAACTTCATCTTGGCTTTTGAATCAGGATCGACGTTCCCGTGCGATGCGTTGTGAGCGCGACGTCGGAGAGCCTCAGCCCAGAACCGAAGATGAAAGCCCTGAGGCTGGTCGTGCTCTAATGTCTTCTCCTGCGATTCCTCAAGGATATCAAAATCTGTAAGGGGGTTTGAGTTGGCGGCAAGGTCTAACCGCCCAACGCTATCTCGATATTGGTCTGAGCGAGCGGGGCCAGATGCGGTTGTGGTAGCTGTGTGGGAGGGAGGGAGGTAGTCGACAAGTTCAATGGAATCGGAGTGCGAGGTAGGAGCCACCTTCAAGAGAGAGGCCGGAGGGTAGTCGGCCTAGGTCATTCAAGGAGTATAGAGAGATGCAGGACTGAGGGGAAGGTAGCAGTGGCCTCTATCTTGGGTGGGGGCACGAAGAGGCTCGAGAAGTCCGGGTCAGTTGGATATTGGGGTTGCACTAAGTAAGGCAATGATATAGCGCAGCACTCCACTGATCGGGGAAAGATCTTGTATCTGGTTGGAATCTATTCCGAGGCTGTAGACATGTAGAATATTGAACGTATTGGCGGTTTTTTTTTTCTCACCCCAGGAACCGTTGCGCTTGAGCTATGTTGTAGATTAGGTAAGCGTGCTGCTTGGCAGGGCCTATCAGACAATGCTCTATACAAAGCACTGAGAGAGGTGTGACAGAGAACAAGATGAGGTTGATGTATAGAAGTAATTGTATTCAAGGTGTGTAACTAAGTTTAGCTGAGGGTAGGTGGTCTCCAATAATAGGAACCGTAACGATAAGGAGTATAAGCCGCCATGTCTATGTATATAAGACAACGATATGGAGATATCATAAGCGAATCTAAAACTCCGTAGCATATGTCAAATTCCAACGGTTGATATTGGCTTTTCCTCGGGAAATATCATGAGCCCATGAAGAATAAAAGTCAAATTCTTTTGACCAGACTATATAAATGTACATATGCAGAAGTGCTCAGAGATACAAGACAAACCCCCAAACCCGGATAGAAGAAATACAATCCAATAAGACCAATTTAGCGACGAGCGTTAGTATTCAGGTTCGCACGACCAGAAATACCAATCTTGTGCTGTTGGTCCCTCTTCTCCCAGACACCGCTACGACCCTCAGCAACGGCCACCACCTCAGCCGCAACACGGTTCGCAAACAGCGCATCACGTCGCTTATCCGACGCATCAAGAATCCACTTGATCGCAGTACGGCGGCGCTGGCGCAGAGTCAGCGGGTGAGGAATCTGCACGGCAGTACCACCACCCGCGATACCCTTCTGCTGACGGATTCGGAAGAGGGGCGCCACGGAGTCGACGACGAGAGTAAGGTAGAGGACAGGGTCGAGGGGGAGCTGAGATGCCGGGGGAGCCCCGAGGAGACGGCGACGGGGGTTGATCTGGGGGGGAGAGGCGGTGCGGAGGTGATCCAGAACGAGAGACATGTTCTAATATCCAGTTAGTTGATTTTCTCAACACACCCTCGCCAACCATAGATGAGAAAAGAGAACCATACCTTCTGCGCCTTCGTCAGTTTCCCACTCTCCATCATCATCTTAGTGAACTGGTCCTGCATGGTATCGTAGCGCTTGCGGAAGTTCAACGTCTTCAATTCCTCTGGGAGGGCAGGCGGATCGAACTTGAGCCCAGGGTTTTCCTCAAGAGCCTGACCCTGCACCTGCTCAATCATGCTGGCAAGAGCAGCAGTGGCCTCATCACTAGCGCCATCGAGTCCGGGAATATGAGGAATAAGGTTAGCCTCGTTGTTAGGCTCAACACCCTGCAGATCGTTCATAAGGCTTCGAGCCGAAGTCGAGAACGAGCGCGAGCCACCGGACTTTTTCAATGCGTCCCGCATAACCTGCGGCATGTGTTTCATAGCGTCCTTATCGCGGCTGAGGACCTGTTCCACGAAACACAGTTAACACGGGCCTTTCGGCTTTCTCATAAGACCCTAGCAAGCTCTCATATTATGTATTATTGCTCACCTCCTCAACGGGCGTCCCTTGATCCAACTCGGGAGTAGCAGGAATACCATCACAACGCTTTTCCTTATCCATAATTCGGGAGATCTCGTTGGCCTCCTCGCTAACATCGGGCAGCTGGTCGACAGTCGGGTAAGTCTGCTGATCGGGCTGTGGCTCGACCTTCTTTGAGCCATCGCGCGAAGAGCTCCATCGGCACTGAATGGGTAGTGACTGAACGGCGCGGAATCGGACGGGGCTGGCGATGAGTGCGGGCGTGGTGGATTGGCGCAGGGCCGAGACGGCCTTGTTGGCTGTGAAGAGGTTGAGTCGAGGCGGCATGGTTTCGGTCGTGAGAATTGGCCCCGGTGTAATTATTGAGACGAGGGGGTCAAGATTAATCGGCCTGTTTTGGGAGGTTTGCGGCGAGCAAATTTCCGGATTTGCTTAGTAAGCGCCAAGATTTTGATGTGAGGTCATGAAATGTACAACAATACTTGATGGAAATAAGAACAAAAGTGATGGATACTAATTAGTTTAAGCGATGATTCAAGGCAAAACTAAGCTTCGATTCGTCGATTCTAGTCTAGCACTAAAGAGAAGACTTTTTCTGATGATCCAAGTGACTATCTAGCGCAGATATATTTTCGCAAAGTGATGTCGATATACATCTAGTGGTTCAATTTTAATGTTGTGTTTGACCTATTTTGAGTTACTCTCTACATAGACTTATAGAGATATAGTGGGACATGCAATTTTGACTACTAAGGTACTATAGACAGGTACTATAGAGAAGTAGTTTTGACAAAGAATACAAAGAAAACACGGTAGATGCTATATGTAGCGCATGAAGAATCAACTAAACAAAAGAGGGACCTGGTCAGAGATGACAACCTCCACAACTCGAAGATAAAGCCCCAAACTCAAGCCATAGCTCAGTTGGTAACATCATCAGGGTAGACATAGAATGCCAAGGCCAGAATGATATACATGCCGAGACACATGCCACCCTCAAGGTAATTGGACTTTCCATCCTGAATAAGCAAGTTAACAACCAATCCAGAAATGAAGAAAGCCACGGTCTCGAAAGTCTGGAAGTGCAGTGTCATCTCGATATCCATGATCCAGCCCAGGATAACCAAGAAGGGCGTGACAAAGAGCGCAATCTGCAAGCTGCTACCAATAGCAACTCCGATCGCAAGATCCATCTTATCCTTCCACGCAACCACAACGGCAGTGACATGTTCCGCGGCGTTACCCACAATCGGGATCAGCACCAGTCCAATGAACGTCTTGCTCATGCCTGTGGTCTTTACTAGGGGGTCGATAGCATCGACTAGGTAATCGGCGCAAATAGAGACGAGGAGAGTCACAATGACGAGCACCACACCCGCAGCCCACGGGCTGAGAATGCGCTCCTCCTCCTCGTGCTCCTCCTCCTCGGCGCCGGCGATGTTCTCGGTATCGCTACCATTCGTCTCTTCGAAGAGGTCGGAGTGAGAGCCCAGCTGGAAGTAGAGATACATGACGTAGATGATCAGGAGGATGATGGAGGTGCCGTGCGATAAGATAAGGATGTTCTTCTGCGCAGCGTTGTCCGGGTCCGAGTTCTCACCTGCACCGTCGGGATTGGCGATGGAGTTACCCGAGATCGCGGCGTAGAGGGTTGCGGGAATGATAAGGGATGCGGACGCCACAGCCATGAGCGAGGACATGGTCGATGCTACGGTGGTGTTGAAAGACTGTTCGCGGTAGCGGAGTCCACCGACGAAGAAGCAGCAGCCCAGCACGAGCAGGATGTTAGACAGGATACTTCCCAGCATACTGGCCTGGACGACGCGAATCTGGTTCTGTCTCAAGGCAATTACACTGACCTATCAAGAAACAAAGATAAATTAGCATCACCACCCGCTAGCACCGGTATCAATTTCAAGACTCGAGGATCGGCAAGCTTACAATCAGCTCAACAGCATTTCCAAAAGTGGCATTCATCAAGCCGCCAAGCGCTTGACCCAGAGTAGCGGCCAGCTCCTCGGTAGCGAAGCTGAGTAGCGAAGCGAGGGGAACAATAGCAAAGAAATTGAGTGTAAAGACAGCGGTGGAGTCCCAGCCAAGGGCACCGGCGATGATGCCCAAGGGCACAAAGATAAGCAGGACGTTGACATAGTCGCGGACGATTGTTTTCCACGTCAGGTGGACGACGCGCATTGGCCATTGCACCCATATACGGTTGTCGTTCGGGTGGTGGTGGTGCAGTCCATGGTCGGTATGCTCGTGAGATGAGAGGCCGGAGAAGGAGCCACGGTGTGCGCCGAGGAGTCCCGTTCGCTCACTGGCGTCCAGGGAGCCGTTGGTGCCAGAGGCCATTCTTCGTGGACCGAAAGTGTGGCTTCGAAAGTGAGAGCGGAAGTTTGGGAGAGCTGAATATAAAATTCCTCGGGTTAGTTTGGTGAATTTTGCATCCGTTGCCAGAACGGAATTGTATAATTTATGAGACTTTCACAGAAAGCCGGAAAGGAGCGGATGGGGAAGAATGAGAAGATGGGAAGGGGAAAGGGAGTATATCAACCCACACATGATTTCTACTTGGTACCAAGCTTCCAAAGAGATTAAGGAATGGTTAATTGGTTAATCGGTGGGGGTTCAAGCCGCTTCCAAGGTTTTTCTTTCTTAGCGACACCGACATGAAATTTCCGAGGAATCAAAGTTAGCACAGCCTTTCGACTGTTAGGAACTTGAAGAACAAAAAGTGGGGCCCTGAGTGTTTGCCAAGGTGGGTGTGGCCCAGTCAGTGGGGAGCGGAGCTTTGAAATGACGACCCATCGGCCTTGGAGCTCCACATACCAGAGAATGGGACGCGATGATTGGCCACAGTGCAATGCCAAGGTTGTGCACTGCCACAGTCCACGATTGGGACGCACGGACCGATGTGTTTCGGAGATCCATGGATGCTGACTTGGACTTAATCTAAGTCAGGGGAAAAATAACATTATGTAGATTGGAACTATATAGCACATGGTATATCTCTTTTAACACCAAAAGGAGAACCCCAGTCCATATGACAGAAAAAAAAAGGATCAAAGAAGAATACAACAGGGTAGTAAGTCACATCGAAGTGAAAGAAAAAGAAAATAAAAGGAGCGTCAAGACACTGGAGAAAAGAAAAAGTAAAAGAGGTATAAAGGATAGAATCGAATAGGAAAAAGAAAGGTGATCATCATTACTCCTCCGGCAGCACACCATTAGCTTTGAAATCCATCCGACTGCTCTTGCGGCCGACACCCTTGAGCATACTGAAACGACGAAACACCGAGTCCCGCATCCCGCTATTACTATTATTGAGCACAGGGGACAACGGCGCCGTGCCATTCGTGGTCGTCAGAGTCATCACATTACTATCACGTGTGGCAGGCCGCGAATAATCGCGTGTAGACGGGAGCGTCGACCACCCACCACTGGAGGCGGGCGCAATCCGGTCTGTGGCTGCACCGGTGGCAACAGGGCCGCGCTGCTGGGAGTCGGCGCGACTGCGGCCGTCGTGGGAGCGGGCAGCCGTGTCGTGGGGGACATTGTGCGTGTTCAATGAGGTCTGGGATTCATGGGCCACGGACGGCGAGGAGCCGTGCTTGTAGGTCTTGTCGCCGAAGAAGCTGCGGCGTCTCTCGCTTCGGCCGCCGCGGGAGTGGCTGGTTGTGCGGCTGTTAATCGTAGCCGTGTCGTCGTCGAGATTTTCGTCTTCTTCACCCACTATTTGGCCTTTGCTGTCGGATTGCTGGATGGTGAAGATGGAGTTGGTGGCGCCGTGGGATCGCTTGAAGGGGTTGATTATGCTGATCCGTTGACTGACGGATTGCCTGTCGGAGCGCTTGCGCGTGTGGGCATTGTTTCGGGCTGCGCGGTTGAGGTCTTGTTCTGAACTGCCGACTCGCTGGATAGGTGGCATTCGACGATTGTCGCTCGAGGAGGGGGACTGGCGAGCTGTTTGTGTAGGCGTAGGTGATGAATACTCCTGCGGAGCAGGGACGAGAGAACCTAACTCGGGCTCGAAGACATCTTCAAAGCGTCGGAGTAGTTCGGCTTGGGTAGCTTGCTGAGCGGGGCGCTGGTAAAGAGCCAATGCTTGTTTGATAGCCAAGGCGTGGTCGACGAGTGCAACGAAGAGCGCCGTCTCCATTGGGTCCACCGGCTGCTGTGTTGCTTGTACTATTTCACCGTCTTCATCAAGTTCCTCAAGCAGCTTGTTCCTTGCCATCTCCGCATCGGATAGGAATACCCGATACGATGCCACACAGTTAGAGGTTGACGAGCTGTGGTCAAGCAGTGATTCTAGGGCATCGGTCAGATTAGATAGACCAGAATCCTCACCCGACGCAGCACGGCGTCCAATAAGCTGAAGCTCCTGTGTTTTGCGCCACGTGCGCTCAATAGCAGTCTGCAGAGGCGAGAGCGTAACCTCTTCGGCAGAAATGACCTCACTACGACGGAGGATATTCGGAAATGCTTCCGAGACAGTGAAGACGAGCTTTTGAACGAAGTGCTCCCGGACATCCGAGCTGGTCGTGTGTCGTCGCGAAGTGGAAGAGAAGCGAGATGGATCCGAGATCAACAGGTGCTCGCGGACAGAAGACGGAACCTTGGGGCGCTGGTAGACAGGATGAGACACATCGCGGTATGCGCTAACGGCGCTGATCTGAAGGAACTGGCCCTCATAGTCAGGTATCTCGCCAGTAGACATGACCTGCGCAGTAGGGTGTTCCCGCTGCATACGATCCACAAAAGAGGCCATGCGTTCAGTCGGACACGCTTCGAATATGAACTCCTTATCGCGTAGGCCGGGAGGAAACCCAAGACCCTTGTAGACCACACGGAAGTAACGCGGGAATTGTTTGTTGCCCTTGGCGATGTAGTCATAAATTCGAGCCATGGAGCTTTGGGCTCGGGAGAGCTTGGCGAAGTCCATTGTCGTGTGCTCATAGTGCACCGCGAGCTCCTTATAGCAAGCTAACGCGGGGCCCCAGGCCATGGCATTTTCGAAGTTCTGGATAATGGAGAAGTATAAAGCCTCTCTCCGTTCGAATGCATTCTGGGCTGGGAATGCGGGCCTGAGTAGCTCCGGCATAGGCTTGATGGGATCCCATTCGTAGAGATCGGCATGGAACTGAAGGGCAAGACCTGCTTCAGTGAAGTTACCTGCCGCAGCCTGAGCATCCGCAAGTTCATGAACGTAACGAATAAAGATGTCCTCGCGACCCATGTCCTTCATATATTCCATTAATTTCAGAGCGTGCAAACTTTGGGTTGAGGCACCGCTCTGAGAAGCCACCAAAAGATCCAAGAGCTCATCGACTGTCCCGACCAGACTCTTGACAGCATTCGACAACAGATCATCGGATATAGTTTCCCTCTCGAACAGATCCAACAGCTCGCCGATGAAAACCTTCTGGCTGACGCTCTCGTTCATCTGCTTGGACTTGAAGAGCGTATCCAGGCTAGAGATGATCTCCGTTTCAATAATGGAGATATCTTGGTTCAGATCCCATTCACTCAGAATCATCGTCTGCAGTATTTGAACAGCAACATGTCGCAGCCCCTCGTGGACACTGAGACACAGACCAATGATGGGAGGCACCAGGCCGGGAACATACTGGACCTGATAACCGCCCAGCCTTTTCAGATTGAATCGCTCCCTCTCGTCGTCCGTAGTCTCCCAACCAATGGCTTCCCAGGTAGATTGCAATAAGTCCGCACCTTGCTCGCGCACATCGCCGGCGATCTTCCAGACAGCGCGGCGCTTCTGCTCGGGGAAAGTTTCGAGCGCAAGGACATCACTAGAGATCACCTTTAACAGAGTCGTGAAAAACGACTCCCACAGCTTGGTATCGAATGTGTCGGCATCATCCGGTGCCGGAAGGAGTTTATCAATTAGCAACACTGCAATATGTTCAAGACTCTTGATAGTCGCGCGATGGTTGTACACATGAATACTGAACCAGGTCTCGGGATAAGCCTCGCAGTCGAGGATGGAGTTGTGAGCCTCAAGGGTCTGAGCAACAAATAGTGCAAGCTCCAATTCTTTCAAGTTGGGTAGCTTGGGAGACGCGATCTTGGCAATGGCAGCCATGAGCGCAGACAGTTCCACCAAAGACTCATCGAAGCTTTGAGGGGTCTTGGCAGTCTTCATCTGGAAGGGGAACGCCTTGCTGAAAAGCAAAGAAAGATACTCCGACTCCTCTACTCCCTCAGTGGAGATAGCACAGTAAGAGGCGACGATAGCTGGCATGAATCCATAAAGCAGAGGATCAGGCTGACTGAGCAATTGAGCCACGATTGAGTTGCTCAGTCGCACCTGATCTCGATACAAATCCGAGACGCCTGAGGTGGAACCCCAGTATGGAGTCAACCAGCCAATACAGCTGGAGATCAATGTTCGTCTCTCGTCGCCGGAGGCGAAAACATCAAACAGAGTATAATTCTGAATGAGAACTAGCTTATAGAGTATCAACATGCCGGTGACATCCTTGCATGAATCCATGAAACTCAGAGCGATCATAATTATTTCATCCTTGCTCAGGACGTTGGAGAGCTCAGGTAGCCACGTATGGAAATGTTGAACTACCAGTGTTTTGCTGCCCACCAAAGCCGGCGACGAGTTTCTCATCAAAGTCTCCATAGCCTTGAAAATGGTACGCATGTCTCTGTTGAAGGTGGATTGCACCGTGGTGATGCCAATACCTTCCTCCTTGGCCTTTTGCTGCTCGCGAGCCTTGATGATGAATTTTAACAGATGGCGTCCCACCTTGAAGGCGGCACGGAGATTGCGAGATTGCGTACCGTCGGTCCCTGCGTTTAAGAGGCGCAAGTAGCTTCGAATAAGGCACGGGGTGACGAATGGGAAGTTGAACTGCTCATCGGCGTACCGGTCGACCAGCGGGCCTAGGTTGTATCGTCGATCATGGACAATTCCCAGAACAGTGACCAGGTTGTTGAAGATCAAGTTCTCGTATTCTTCATTACCAGCATTCTCCACCAGGATTCCGAACAGCGCGTCGAAGACACCACTTAGTTGTTTCACAATCTCGATTTCGGGAACAAAAAGTAAACGTTTCAGGGTATCCAAGACCTCGTCCACGGGCCGCTCTCGCCAGTTGAGAAGACTCAGAATGACTTGATCCTGGGAGTACTCTGTGCTGCAAAGATGGGTTTCAAGGTGCAAAGTGGCCAATGGACCCGTCACAGCTTCATCTTTGGCGGATTCATTCTTGCCGAGCGCGCTCCATGGGAGGTTCAGATAAGCACCCTTTCCATTCTCAATGCTGGATGTCTGCTTGTCATAAGCATGCAACAGCAGAGAATGATGCCCATCTCTAATGAAAGCTTGCTGATCCCAAAGGGGCATCCAGGCAAGAGCAAAGGGAAATTCTGGCGCATCTGCAACACTCATCACTATGTGCGAGCCAGGGATTTGTTCTGTGGGGATCTTGAGGCGGATGGTCTGGTTCCAAGGTGTGCCGCGCTGGGCGATGGTAGTGCGCCATGCCGTGTTTGAAGTTTTGGATGACGAAGGGAAGACACATTTG